TATATACTACTAATAATAGTATATATATATATATATATATATATATATATATATATATATATATATATATATATATATATATACATATGTACCTTCCTTTGAATCTTCGCGCATACATAAATAGCCACTGTTGTCAGCAAAATGTGCCAGATACCTTGAATATTCTTCACGGTGCTCCCCGTGACTGCGACCCTCTCTATTATATATATTATCGTTCTGCCATGCGCGTGCGGAGCTGTATCGTTTGTATAGAAATCTACAAGAGCCCTGTACTCGGAATGACTGTATATTCAATTTAGAGGGCTCTGGTATAGGAAGTCATTATTTTTTTCTCATAGTAGCTACCTGGTTTATAGTCAATGGGGAATGACCCTTCGATTCCTGACAACATAACAATTTGTAAATATGTACATTCAAGTTTCCGGTGAATCATTCCGCTATCAATCTGCTCATATCGCCATATAGGTTTCAAACAAGGAATGTGCGAACTTTTAATTGTCTGAACGTGTCGCATGGTTAATACCTGCTTGCACTATTGACTAACATGCCAGGCACGAGATTACCAGTACGTTAATACCCCGCACGGTGCCCAATATCCGCCTTTTGAACCTGCGGAAAGAGTTTGATGCCTTGCGCACCACCTGGCACCCAGTGACCCAAGCCACTACTTATTCTATTTAAATGTTACAAAACTATTGTTCCATCGGAGGCTATGAGTTTTGTTTTTTCAAACATGAACTAAAATAATAATAATCTATCGTGATAGCCTGAAGTCTGAAATATGTAAAAATAACATCCGTATTACTTCGGCAGTATTTCAAGTCGAATGCACAAGCAGTTCGGTATCATTTACTTTTGATATCATAAAAAAGCACAATATGTATTCAAATAATAAAATGAACAAAAAAAAATCGAATGAAAAAAAAATCGATTGAAATTAAAATACCATAGCCCTCTCGATTACAGAAAATACCCAAATAAATAAATATCTGCAGCATACTGAAATGCTCCATTTCCGGTGCCTAAATAAAATAATAAATAAATCTCTACGGGCAAGAGTCTACGGGTCACATCGTTGGCTTGTGGTTATGGTGTGAAGCTAGCTGTCGTCTCTAGAAAAAACACCAGAACAACTGAATAACACCTGCAAGTATAGGAGATCACACTTCCACATGAATGAGCCTGCGCTATCATTCTGATTTGAGTATCACTTTGAGTTTGGAGGCAACAAGTTGATATGTAAATTGACATATATAT